GTAGACTTAACTAATTTTAATTAATAATTATTTAAGATTATATTTTGAATAATTCATTTCAAATATAAAAATAGAATCTCTAAAACTTCAATCTCTTTCATTTTAATTTATTATTATTAGCTTGAACTAATTGGATTAGAACGAAATTATTTATTTTAATTGAAATAAACTTTTTACTAATATTTTTAAATTATATAAAATAAGCTTTAATTTAGTCTTTTAGTATTAGAAAAATAATTTCTTTATTATTTTCTTCGAATAAAATTTTCAAAATACGTTAAAGTCTATATTATAATTTGTTATATAAAAAGTCTATATTATTATACATATAACTTAATAATTATAATATAAAAGATTTTCTTGAATATTATCTCTTTAGTTTTTGTTTTTTTGATTATTATAAGAAGTATACTAATATTAAAGATTGATTATAGAATTTTATATAACTTTTCAAAAAAAAATTACTATTATATATCGACTATATATATTATAAGAGTATTTTATAATAAAAAGATCAGATTATACTCGGCGGTGTCTTCGAAGAGATATATACAAAATAAGCGAATTTGTTATTTAAAAACTCAATATTTTCAATATTATATAATAATATTTATAGAAAAAAAGAAAAAAAAATAATTAAATTAAAATTCAAAATCGACTTTATTATTATTAAAAGATTTTAATCAAAATTATATAAAAATCTTTGAAATCAGAAACTTTTTTATTTCAATTTATAATTATCAAGTTGAATCTGATTAGATTGAAAAGATATTTTATATATAAATTGAGAAATAACTAATAAATAAAGAATATCAAATTATATGAAATTATATAAATATTTGAGCTAGCAATAGCTTTTTTGAGTTTGTATATACCTCTTCAAAGACCCGTCTGAGTATAATAAACCAAGCTAATAATAGTCATTTTGATATTGTATATATATCTTTTAAGACTCCGAGTCGCTCGAGTAGAAATTTAAACTGTATACTTGAGTACAATAAGACTCTTATATATTAATACAGTGTTGATTGACATCTATCTAGTTCTATTTTTGTTATTCTCCTTGGTTCATTATACAACCGCCAGCCCAACCCACTGGCATTCATTCCTGTGCGTATTGTACAATCTGTTGGAGAAAATTAAAGGAAACGGAAAGTAATAAGAATACTATAGCCGCCAAATTCAAAACCGATAGCTTGATGATAATACACCGTTCAAGCCGAGGAAACCTTCCAGTATGTGATAGCTCCATGTAGTACCGGTACTATACAAGCGAAAACAAAGAGAGGAGAAAGGTAATATGAAAGGTAAAGAGGATGAAATCAAACATTTTGACAAGTACAATATTGACAAGCAGCCAGCTAGCCAGACCTGACTGTTCCATGCACCTTCCCTCTCTAATGCTTGATCCAAACAAGCAGAAGATATCGCTAAACAGCAAAGCAAAGCAAAACAACAAAATGAAAATGTGCCGAAATCCCAAACCCAAACCGAGACCCATCATCATCATCATCATCATAACGCTTATTGGTAAAGAAAATCGTAAAGGCATTTTCTCATCAAGAGTCGAAGTCTAGTGCAACACCATAGATGTGACACACCACAATAACTCGCAATAATGATGTCATACGATTGTGTCGTACTACTCCAATTCAGCACTCAGCCCGCGCTTCCGAATAACCATTGGTAAAATGAGAATTGTGTACACTGTGTACAGGGATAATATGCGGAGGTGGAAAACCCCTTCGTGCATTAATGATGTTTGGGTTGTTGGTGGGTTAATGTGTGGTGGTATAATGATGAATTGATGAATTGATGAATTGATGGATTGATGGGGTTGATGTGGATGAATTGTGTTGGTGGATTGGTGGGTTGATGTATCAATTGATAAATTGTGTTGGTGGGTTGGTAGGTTGATAGGTCGTATAATAATGATGAGACTTTCTCCTTAATCGTTTGATAAGGTGATAAGAGACGGTGGTGGTGATGAGAGTTGATAAGAGGATAAGAGTTGATGAATTGATGAGTTGGTGATTTGATGAATTGATGAGTATTGATTTGATACAACTTGGGATGAATTGATCACCATAAATTCAATCTTTATCCATACTTTCATTCTCTGTTTATTAATCCATACCAAGTCCCATCCCCAATCCTCCTCCTCCTCCTCTTCTTCTTCCTTTTCCAGTAATTCCTTGTATTTCCGGATGTACAACTCTCAAGTGTCGTGTAAGAGCATCATTTCGACTAAATGTCTTTTCTTCCGTACAATATTTACATCGTAACTTTTGCTTTCCTGAATTATGAATGGTATCTTCATGTCGTGTAAGATCATATGGTCGAGAGAATATGGTATTACAAGCTTTACCCGTTGATGGGTTAATCCGTTCGCATTTGTGGGGTCCGCTTTGACTATTTAACTTTTGCGCCGTTGATGTCATTCCATCGGTACTTTCCCCACTTCCACTTCCATTCCCACTTATCAAATTGCTGATGACTGATGTCGAATTACGATGTCCTTCCCTTTTGTGTTTTTGAAGTTTGGCTGGTGTCTCAAATCGTAGTGTACACCCGTGATATGTACATGTGTAAGTTCCGCTGTCAGCTGATGTATTCGATGGTCTCCGTACTATCTCTTCTGCTTCAGGTGAGAAATCGCTGCTGCTCGATTCCATTGATCTCAGCGTTGCAGGGAAGTCATTTGACATATTAGACATATTCGACAAATTCGACATGTTAGACGTATGGCTCAGCTGTCGTCGCGGTGCAGCAACAAATGGATATTGGTGAGGTACTTGTCGAACATTGCCTTGCATCGCGGGAGTTGCGAAATTAAATTGGCCTTGTTTTGGTGTGGCGTGTGAGTTTGTAGAATATGCCGATGAGCTTTCTCGTCGCGTTGTAGCCATACTACCATAACTTTGTTGTGATAATGACATTTCCTCCGGCTCAGATGGCTCTTGAGCAATCAGGGGTTGCTGGCGATAAGGCACTGGCGATTGTCCGTTTCGCCGTGGTGGTGGAAACAATGGGTTTTTTGCATCCTCCTCACTTTCGTGATACACCAAATTAACATCTTTGGGTGAGATCGTCTTTGGCGTGACTTGTTCCGGATTAGTCCTCTCAAATTGTTCTTGTATGGCCAACTCAGCATCCTTTGCTTTCTGCTGTTCTCGCATACTTGTCGCAGTTACAAAACTCATATTGTGTGGATTGAAAGCGGCGGTAGAAGGGGCCAATGGAGAGCCGGGTTGGAAAGGCGATCGATTTCGAGGAGATAGGATTGATGACTTTTGCTGGTTTACATTCAGGTGTTGATGGTTGGCAGCTGCGGCTTGTAGTCTTTGTGCGAAAACATCATTGGCGGGTGCCGCGGATGTCTGAGTCGAGGCAGGAGCTGGAGAGGGGGCCGAAATTATGGGATAGCTAGGGCTAAACAGCTCATCATCATAGGCATCCGTCATCGTGCGATCGAGTTTAGGCATTTGATGTGAGGAAATTCTGTGATCTTTGAGATCGGATCGAGGTGAGTATTGGTTCAACCAAGAGTCCACACTAGAAGTCATACCAGACTGTTGCCTTTCATCTTCATGAAATGGTGGCGTCGAAAGTGAGTCATTACTTGCCACCGTGGTTATTGATGGCCTACTCGACCCTTGGCTGTGATACTCTGGTACCGACATCAGCCCATTGCTGACACCCAATGATCTTGGTAATCCATCGTTGGTCATCGTGAAGGTCAGACTGTTCTGATTTTGATGATAATTTGGATGATGAGACGAGAGAAAAGTCTCCTGAATAGGTGTATGCGCAGGAGTCAAGGGCTTCGGGGCGGTTTGATGATAGTCATGAAAGTCATGATATGAATCGCCAACCACTTGAGGATTTGATGTTGACGGTGCGAAGGGAGAGGCAGGAGCAGCCGGAGATCCGAGAGACGATAACGAAGACTCTCGATGGTGATATGGTCTCGTAGTCGAAGTAGGCGTAAGTTGTCCGTTAGGCATCCAGCTACCATTTGATTGCACAGACTGCATGAGAGGTCGTGACTGAACTTGTTGTTGATTTGAGGGAAATTGTTGTGGTTGAAAGTCAAAGAGAATTTGATCGGCTCCAAAATTGAAGTTAATATTATTGGAATTGGAAAGACTGGTACCGTTCGTGGCAGATGTAAAATGTGATGTGAGTGGTATTGGTGATGGAATCCAAGGTTGAGATTGTTGATATTGCTGATTATAAGAAGCTTGTTGTGGTTGTTGTGGATGTTGTGGTTGTTGTGGATGTTGTGGATGTTGTGATTGTTGTGATTGTTGTGATTGTTGAGGATGTTGTGAATGATGTGGTAATAGACTTGATTGACGTTTCGATTCTGGATTGTAAGCTAGCATGATGATATAGCTTTGAGGATCTGTGAAAGCTTTAGTAAAAAAAAGTTTAATAATAATGGGTGGCAAATATCTAAGTTTATATATGGAAATTCCATTACCTCGGTTTCTGTGACTCGTACTCGGGAAGTTTTGGATAGAGAATGAATAATGAATAGGGAAGTACCTTTTTCAGTAGTAGTTGGTAGTAAATAAGTCGGATGTGTAATCAGATCATATAGTCAGCAGATTGAATTAATTTTTCAATCTTTGCTGGCTTTCTTTTTGGTGATGGTGATTATGATTATGATTAAGTTTGTATTGGATCTGGGAATCTTTATATATGGTGTGGTTTTTTTGATATTGGAAATATAATGTAATGGGAAGTGATGACTGGGTGATATTATAATAGTATACTACTAGTAGGTAGAAAACTAGATAAAATGATTGTGAGTTAATAGGTCATAAGTAAATACTTATTAGATATATACCAGGTATTTATCTATTTATCAGTACTTGTAGGTCAATATTTTATGATCATGACCACAACACACACCAAGCATGCTGGTACAATATTTAATTTTTTTTTATATGGAGTGGAGTGACGATTATCGATCGGCCCCTCCTAACTTTGCGCAAGGATTTTCGATTAGCATCAGCATCCAGCATTACCTAGTAGAATTGTGGAAAAGGGCTTATCTCCTTTGAGTCGAGTCGAGTCGAGGTGATACTACAATGACGCACACATTAGCATGGATCAGTGACACTAGTGAGGGAAATAATAAGAAATATGCTACAAGCAGTCTAGCGGGTAACTAAGAAAATAATAATAATGTACAACTCTGTGCATAGCGCTATCGGTACCTAGGTAGTTTTTGACAGATTGATAAAATTATTATGGGTTCCCTAATAATGCTTGGCAATAAGCCACAAATACAAGTACGAGCCACACACTTATCTCAAAACCACCTAGTAATGGATTTCTTTATGATGAAGCCGAAGATGCGAATGGCTAAGAAGGATGTGCAATGTACAATAAAATGGATTTGTAAGGCAGCTGCTTTCAAATGTCATTCGGAATTCTATACAAGCGCGCATAAAGCCAGTTTTAAACAAAGAACCAGTTATAATTAAGAATTATCTATCTCGTTCTCGGATATTCTATTCCAGAACATAGCCACACAAGAGGAAGTTTTAGGAATAATTATTTTACGAGTCTAGCCTTCCATCCATTCAAGTAAAGTAAGAAAACGTTGTCAATCTTATCCCGGGAACACCGTTGATTCATTCAATCTAGATCCTATTCTCTTTCTATTTGGTACTCCTCACAAACAAGACAGCAAAATTGTTATTCATTCTTTTCATTATGGAAATGAGAATCGACCGGTAGGTAGCACTCCATCCGTCCTGTACCATGCAAATGTTACACAGATCCATATGAGTATGTGTCTCCCGATTGGCCTAGTCGATTCCAAAGTTGGCACTAGTCCTACCGGCACTCCATTCTCCTCGAAATTTATTCCTGAGGTTGTATTCTCTAAGTGGGGATCCCGTTACTCCCTTAGGGAGGTTATTCCTGGACTGCAGCTTACCCTGGTTATTAGTTGCCCTATGCGCATGGGATTCGCAAAGATCAAAGTAGATCTCGACGAATCCCATGCGAATTTCCATGTATGATAACTTCCCCATTCTTTTCTTCCCATCACCACCCCCGATTGATCAATTATATTGAAAATGTAATACAATAATACCTATGTAAACAAATTTCTAGGTTGACAGGAAAAGAACTGCCTAGCAAAATCATACCCTAAATCTCTATAAAGCTCTTACTGATGAAAATAGGACTGAGGGGCCCTATCGATAGACCTTATGCTTTATTGATGACACCTTCTACAATGTACTATCTAGGTAGCTATGACTTGGTCGCAGAGAAAAGTCTACCTCCACCGACCCGTGCTAGGTCTCGATCTTTGTAACAGCATACAAGAAAAATTTCAAGAACTAATTGTAACAATTCTATTTCCATCTTCGCGAATGTCTTTTTTGTGACTCTTTACTTTTTCTAAAATTACCCCACGTACACATCTTGGGTTACTGTTACTTGATCCTCGCCAGAGGAGTCATGCACCACGTCAGCTTCATTCAATCTAGCTGACTCATATAATCGCGATGTGAGTTAGCTGGTTCGTTTCGGAACTTTGCACGGGATATCTCGTCGGCTTAAATCCGCAAACCCTCGGAGGAGAAAACTCTAGAGCATTGCTAAGCCGATATAAATGGTCTACCGATAACGATCTCACGAGCCAAACTTGGGACTCGTGACCCAGGCTTATCATTAGGCGGGCTTGTTTTTCAGAAATTGAGCCTTGAGGGAAAAATGAGCGAGTCCTACTTCGCTATCACATATTCTTTATGTGTACGGCCTAACAAACTCTGATAGAAATGGACATGCACTGTTTCATACTATTGCAGCCACCTCATGCAAGCCGCAAGAAACAAAGTGGATATTTGATACAGATTCCCATGAAGCTGTAGAAGATAGTGACGAATAGTAGGCAGACAAATAAAAGAGTGGCAGCCACACTTCCCCCGCAAAAAAATGCCAATCTCCCACGCGATGTTGAAGATCGATCCAGAAAAAATGCAGCCCTTTCCAGGGACCTGTTCCTTGCGGGATTCAATGCACGTTGCACAGCCACTGTGTTGCTGGCCGTCCACTAAGCCTTGAAAATCCCTTGATTTTCGGAGTGAGCGAAAAACTCCATATGCAGGGTCCAGAAATATCATGTTGTATCTTAAGAGCTATGCGCCAATTGGCTCTACGGCTTAGCACATTGTCCATGTATTTGTAAAACCCAAATAGCTAAATTGTCGAAGGTAACGTGATGTATCTCCATTTATGGTATCTCACCGGCATCGCCGTGGAGTTGGGGCTACACAACATGAAGAAAACATTCTATTGCACGAAAAGAATCTTCGAAAGCATGCGCAGCGCAGAATGTAACACTGGGTACATATGTACTATGCAACCGCTCTTCAGGGGGAGAGAATTCCAAATATGAGTAATTACATATTATGAGATTATTCCAAACAATCGCTCAACTCCTATAAACGAATTTGGTAGAACATTTATAATCTCATTGTCCTCATTTAATCTGAAAGGAACTGAACATACTTTTCAGTTCGTATACCTGCATTCCTGCATTCCTATTCCCAACAAGCGACTCCTCCCACCTTCTTATTTTCTATATCTTGGCCCAAAGGTTGATTCCCATGCAGAGTTTTTGTGGCACATGCATAGTCTTCCCCGCATGAACTTATCAGAGTAATCCGGGAATCTCCTCCTCGGTTCCGCCTTTACATGCCGAAATTATTTCCTCGTCGCATGGCAGGCATGCCGCCATGGCTGTGAGGCTTGAGCAAGCCACATATGAATCTCCATTGCCTTACGCGAAGAAATCGGATGCAATTTCCTAATAGAGAGCATTCTATCGGCTCCTGTTGCTTGGTATAGTAACATTCTGAATTCTTCTTTTCGGGGCGTTCCGCCATGAAATCTTTTGGGGATTCTGGAACGACCTTTTCCTTAATGCATCTCAACGACAACATATTCTCTTCCGAAATCTTCCAATATTCTACGTTAAAAGTCTTCAATGAAGACTCTGAGAGTTATCTCCGTTCTATTGATAGAAGGATCGGAGCTTTCGGATTGTCGGCGATTGAATTGGTAATTCTCGTTCGGAAACGTCAAGTGTTGATTGTTAATGTTGAGATGCGGGCGCAGCATCATTGAAGCCCTATCGGAGATATCAATTCTCAATGGAGTTCTTGGTCATAGACATCTGAACAATTCTCCCCGGTGAATTAATTCAGATGCGTCGGATGTCTGGACATTTTCGGCATTCTATGTATAGGCATTGTAAGATGTTTGGACAAAATCACTGGTGATTAATGGAGTTGATTGTGAGTTGCAGCTACGAGCTACGAGCTACGAGCTGCGAATGCAAAATGCTACAAATATGGTCAGCGACATTTCGTATCTTAGCCAAACGTCAAGATTTGGAATAGCATACATCATCTTCTTGATAATCGAGTACCGGTACCTAGCAATCAATTGAGTGAGTAGAACACGAGCGAGTGTCAACATACATATCACCTAATGTAATGTAATGAACTTATAAATTCGTCGTCCTATCGCGAGATATACGAAGATGTAATACGAAGATGTCTTTTCGTAAATAATAATAAAAGACGGATAAGGAGGGGTGGCGTCGCCGATAAGATAAACTTACCTACTTATTTTACGTGCTTATGATTGGTAGAGGTTGAGCTCCGGGACCTTGTTAGCCAACACCATAATAATTATAAGGCTGAAGAGTTTCAATAAATCAATTATTTTAACCTCAAGAAATCTCCAAAACCATAATGTCTGCTCAACCACTATCACCAGCTCGTAAAGCATGGTATAGATGGAAAGCGCTCCGTCTTCCATGGCGAAAACGCTTTTTCGTTGGTTCGTTCTCTCTCCGATGTTATCTCACCACTTCTTGCCCCCCTCCATAAAGCTCGTCAACTAACACCCCCTAGGACTCGACCTCCAAAACAATTCCTTTTGGGAGTTCCGCGACGCTATAAACGCAGGCCGTATGCGCAGAATAGTACAAACACTACCTTCAACACAATACTCAGATGTACAGATAACCCCGCAATGGCATCAATGGCTACGACATACTCGGAGCGATGCGCCGAGTTTAGAAGAATTAGTAGGGGATGTGGCGAGGCAGGAAAGATTGAAGATTTTGGCGAGACAGGCGGATGAGAGGTGGAATGCAAAGGCGAGTTTTCTGGATCAACCAAAGGCGGTGCAGCAAGCGTTGCCGGTTACGCAAGTTAGGGATGGAGGGGGGTATACCGGGGTGGAACCGAGAGGGGATGGTAAGGGTGTGGCGAATGCTGTTGTGGGAGTGGGTGAAGAGACGGAGAAGGAGGAGGCAGTACAATCGACAAAGACAAAGTCAGCCCAGGGTGAGATACAGCATGATGTGGACACGCAACTGAAAGAGGAGAAGAAGTACAAGGACGATCCGTGGGAAAAGGCAAAGGGAGGACCAAGTGAAGGGTGGCAACCTCGAGCTTGGAATCCTAACGATATGCCAGTAGCAAAGAGATGATGTATTAAATTAGAATAAATATATAAAATAGATTCGCCATGAATGGGACAGTAGTTCTTCACGCCCGTTTTCCTTATTTTCTGTTGTTTTATGATTAAAGCAAATGACCATTCACAAACGGTACTCACTCTAAAATGCTATATTCTGAACATGATATCGACCGGCTACAGTTTGATACACTAGAACCGATATACATTTCTTCTTGAAAGGTAGACCAACAGCAAATGGTATCTCTAGATAACTCCAATACCCAGTAGACTCCTTGCCCCCACGAACTCATTCAGTGCTTTGGGCCCCAACTCCAGTATGATATTAACAACCCCCTTAGGCATTGCATATTTCTATCCAATCTACCAAACTCCTCAGTCTCCTCGAACTTGCATCTAGGAAGATCCTCGCAATCTCTTCCTTCTTCTTTGTTACAGCATCTACTCTTCGTCTGCTATCCGGCTTACATATCTTTTCCCTCGCACTGATTCCATTTTCTATCGCCTCGTCTAGATTAGACGTATGGTTCGCCTCACAACCCGTCAAAAATAGGCGAAGTAGATTTTCAACCAAAATTGAATACTTGGCATTATCCTCAACAGATGAAGTCATGGGACTCCATGGTAAATAACAGATTTCGAGAATTGGTTGCGTGAGTGAATCATTTGTAGAATTCTCGACGTCGTGAGGAAAGGGCGTGGATTTAGGAAGATAGCGACAGCATATTAGTTGCATCAGTGAGATAAGGACCTCGGAAGGAAATGGTGATATTCGTGATATGTTGAGTAGAAGTGAAAATGATGCGACAGGAAGTGCTGCGGTGAACTCTTGGAGGAGGTCGTAGACATCGGCGACGGGCACAAACACTTGTGGAAGGACCACAGATACGCGGGACAGCTGCGAAATTTAGCGTGCGTCTTTGACTATGGGAGAGGGGGATTTCTTACTAGAGTTATGACTCGCTGACGCAAGCGAATGGAGTCCGGGTCTCCTATAGTAGAAGAGTATGTTGTATTTCTTTTCTTACTTGGCTTCTGAACTGGTTCTTCAGAACCTTTGGATGTATCAGATGTGATGTCTTCTTCTTCCTCTTCGTTGTAATCACCAAAGCCCATCTCCTTAATATTTTTGCTGTCATCCCATTTCCTCTTTTGTGACAAGTCTTTCTTGATGTCCTTGACCTCATTCTCAAAAACCTCCGGATACGCTTTCATGGATTGCACAGAGCCATCCGCAAAGGCTGCCTTAACAATCCGCCGAACAGCGTTGCCATTGCGATTTTGACTAGACACGCCTATATATTGTGCCAGTAACGAACCTTGAAGTAATTCATAACCAGGAGAAAGCAGCTCAGCCCCTTGGGTTTGATCAACTTTGGCCGTGAATGTCGTGTCATCCATAGCTTTTCGTTCCTGCCAATCTGCATCCAGTACATCTAGCAGATACTCCAAAAGAATCTTCCAATATCTCCACCTCTTCGGATGCCTAACGCTGCAATTAAATGACCAACCCACAATCTGCCAAAAGTCCTTGGCGCATCTCCACAGTCCATTTTGAGATACCACTCCCTTTATATCATCATCATCACTATTCGAACTACTATCTCCATCGTGAGAACGCCGTCGGGAGTATCTGCGTGCTTCGAAAGAAAATGCTTGCGCTAGATTACCACTCTTGGGACCGATTTCGGTGAGAATATTTCGTAGAAACACAATAGATCTTGATGCTACTTCGACATTTTCATGCTTGGCACGAGTTGTAGAGACCGGATGTACAAGTAACGTACTGGCTATTTGCAAGAATTTATGGGTTGGTATACAGGCAGCTTTCGAAGTTGCGCTTGAATGTGAAATACCAGCAGTAAAGGCATCAGAAAGTAAGGTGAGAGCGTGGTTATCTATTTAATATGTAAGTGTTCGTCAAACATAAATTCTGTAAAGTATGAATACGCACACAACAGTTCATCGAAGTATATCTTGACATGCTCCTCAATTTCACTAGAGATTTGATTTGCTTGGCAATATTGTGGGTGTTCTAAGGAACCTCCACGTTCATTTGTGCCATCTGCCATCGAAGAGAATGTTGGACTGGGCGACGATGGAGAATCCAAGGCTGTATAAAATGAAGACGGAGAACTTAACATCATCCTGACGATACGGGGTTACGGGGTGGGGATGGGGATTGTAGGGTTTCGCGATAATATAAATTCAACGCGTCAAGCACGGGTTTTCGCGTTTTGCTTACTATAGAGTATATATATAATCCAGAATATAAAGAATCTATTTAACTTTGTTAGAAAAGGGTTGCTGAATCAGCTATGGCACTAAGGCCTATACTAGGGATAATCTCACTTCTACAGTTTTCTATAGTTTCACTATCTTTAATTATATAATATTATTATTAATAATATTATACAAATTGATTATTATACTTCCACTTTTTACAGATTATAACCCCAATTGTACTGAGTTATTTAATTAGATTTTTATAAAAATATCTAATTCAATGAACTTTTTATTATTTATAAAATAAATTGTTTTGTAATTATTTAAAAGAATTGAATTAGAAAAAAGAATATTTCGAATATTTTAAAATGAAATATATTAAACTTTTTTTCTTTTGAAAAGTTTTGGATTAAAAAAAGTTATAACAATTAATCTGAACTCTATATAGGATCCGTTTTTCTTTTAAAGTTTGTCTTCCTTTTCTTTA